AAGCGTAGTGCAGTTGTGCGCGAACTCGCCTTTATCGCATTGCGAAATCAGTCGCCACGTGGCTTGGCCATCTTGATTCGACAAGTCGGCCATTTTGTGAACGCGTTCGCGTTAACGGTCATCTCGCGTAAGACACTCAGCATTCAAACGTACATTCAGTTAATATCAGTATCTAACATTCATTCTCCGCAACTCAGTGACACTCTACGTGACTCAGTGACTCAGTGACAATCAACCAGTGTCGTGACTCAATCTGTCAATCATGACCGACAAAAAGACACCGTCGAAAAGCGCACTAGAGGAGAAGCAAAGCTCAAGGCTGAGTTCTCGTCCGGTTTCATCAGCCCTGGTCGTCGAGGAACTTGCAGCCACCAAGACAGCGGACTCTACCCGTTCCTTCCGCCCCAATTACCAGGTCAAACTCACCACCAGGTTTGTCCTCTGAATTATTCTTAAAATACCGCATTCAATTGAGTCGGATTTCGTCTCTCATGACACTGGGAGCGGATCTCTCACGAGAGAATCAGCAATTCACGTTGGTCGACATCAATGCGTATGCAGCTCAAATCGAGGAGTTGCATAAGTCATTCCTCAAGGAGCATGCCTATTTGGAAGTTTCCTGGTCATCGTCATGTATTGATCACCCGTACATTACTGAATATTATTTTAGCCAGGAAACTACAGTAATCGCGACAGCCCGTCGGCGAATCTTAAATTGGAAGGCCAAATTCGAAACTCGTTCGGTGAAGCCAATTCAGCCATCCTCTGAATCAACTACCAGCTCATCAAGACTGCCGGATATTCCACTCCCGCAGTTCTCAGGCGACCGTCTAGAGGGGCCTGCATTCTCAGAACTCTTGGAGTCATATATCATCAAAAACGATCGACTCTCAGATATTCAACGCCTGCACTATCTGAGAACTAGTACGAAGAAGGAGGCAGCGCAACTCGTGGAATCATTTCCCATGAAAGGCGACTCATTCAAGCTGGCATGGGAAGGCTTGAATGATCGTTACAATAGTAACCGGGCACTCATAAGTGCATAGCTTAAAAAGGCCCTTGCATCACACGACCTGACTAAAACCTCAGCCGACATACTCACATGTTTGATACGTTTTCAGAAGTCACCAAGACCATTCAGAATCTAGGCATCACCGACATTTGGGACTGCTTTTTAGTGCAAATTGCCACCAGCAGGCTTCCCAAAAATACTCATGAGGCTTGGGAGCTCTCATTAGGCAAAGCCAAGGAGTATCCCACCTATTCACAACTAGAATCATTCTTGAGGAATAAAGCGCAGGCTCTCAAGCACGTGGAGGCCACGGAGGCCCACTCATCAGCTAAATCAAGCTCCTCATTCCAGTGTGATTGTTGCGGAGGCAATCACTTTGTAGTAATGTGTCCGAGATTCCGCAACTTGTCGGTTTCGGAGCGTCGAGCCATTGTGGTCGGACAGAGAAGAATCAACATCAGCAGCTCAACAGCATTGAAGATCATGTGCAGTTGTCCACTCACACTCAGCAGCATCTACGAATCAAGCTCATCAGCATGGTTGCAGGGAGCAGCCTCAATCAAACTCATCTCAACGTACTCTGTTAGCCACAGCACTCGCACACGCCATCTCACCTCGTTCAACTCAACAAGTACGTCTTCTCATCGACACGGGATCAGAGCTGACTTTTGTCAG